AAGTTTAAACAGGAATGAAATATCTAAAAAGAAGTGATGGTTGAACGATGTTAATTGTTAAAGTGATAGATTTAAAGCATCACAAAAGGTGTCATGAATTCCTTACAGAATGACCATTTAAAAACAACAAAAAATCATCAGTGCGCGTCAAAAAAAAAAAAAAGAGCAGTGCTCCGGGACAATCTCAAATTTGTTGAACTAGGTGAAGAGCACACTCGTGGGCGTCATCTCAAAGTGGCTGTCCGGTCATGTTTCTTCAAGGTCTTTGGAAAATAGCCTCGGTGACTTCTTCGATCACTCGATGCTCTAGGATCTTAAGTATAATTGAGTACACCTCAGGCCAAAGCACTAAAAAGGCGACTTTAATTTCTGAAGTCCTTTCAGTATTTTTTTTATTTATCCGTACAAAAGGGCATACAACTATTCCACCCCTCCCCCCCCCCCCAAGTTTAGACTTTACGCCTGTCAACAAATTATATACCTATATAATAATTTTTTTAGTAACAGAAAGATCTGGCATCCTTGTGACAATGGTGTGGACTTCTCAGGACGAAATCTTTCTTTAGGAGGCTAAGCTGGCTCCCTTGGACAGCAAATCGCCTCTCTCAACGCGCCTGGATTACTCAAGGGAACGTCATAAATGGGTGATGCAGCTTGCCAACAATAGCGCCGCAGTAGCTGCTGAAATATCCCTTGCGTCTATGGGCCGACATCTCCGGGTTTGAATTCTCTTAGACCATCAGCTTTTTGGATGGGCTCAGTTAAGACCTCTCTACCACCCATCACCCTTTGTTAAAATAAATATTTATATTATATTTAATAAATATAAATGTGCACACAAAAACAATATCCATAAAATATTTTATTTTTTAATCAAAGCGAAGGACAACTTAATCTATCCAATCAAACTGAAGGACAACCTCTACTCTCCAATCAAACTGAACTAAAACTTCAACTACCCAATCAAACTGAAAGACAACCTCAACTATCGTAGCAAACGGAAGGGCAACTTCAACTATCCAATCAAACAAAAGGACAACTTCAACTTTCCTGCTGTAACATATACCCCAAGTGGTGGATTACTTATGATCCATTCGTTCCACCGAGATCGTATTTCTTTAAAACCACAATAAAATATCGTACCTGAAATTTCAACCTATGCAGAGGTTGATTTTTAAATATTTGAACATCTCTTTAAAGGGGTGGATTCCCCAACTCACCCCCACCCCCCACGGAAAACAACATAGTTAAGAACCCACGCAGTAAAACGTATATGACATCTTTTAGATAGATCGTATCACTACAATTTCATTGATGGTAAAGACGTGTATTTTTTTCCATGAAATAAAAGAAAACTTTTACAAAACAAAAAACCCCAAAGGAAATATAAAGAAATTCAACAGACCCGGGGGACAGCACAGGTGATGACCGGGGAACAGGACAGATCGAGACCGGGGTGACATGACAGGTGGTGATCACATGCATAAAAGCTGGAGTAGTTCTGCGTGCCCATGATGAGCACTAAGATCTGGAGACCACAGTTCAGCACTGTCCTCAACGTGATATCTAACGAGATCTCCTCTTAAGCATCTCTAGGGTGCATGAACTCAATGTAGTTTTTAAATGTTAAAAAAAGTGGCGATCTACATGGAAATAATTGAGACGCTTCACACATGGTTTAGAGTTCTGCGTCTAGGCATCATTAAAGCAGTTCTCATTTTAAAATTACATGAAGCAACCCCTCTCACCTACCAAAAATTCTGGCGTTTTCCGAGAAGCTCTCTAAAAGATCGATTTTTAAATTCTTTTTTTTAATCGCCCGCCAAACTTTTTTTTTTTAATTTTAAAATATTAATGGTATTGTGAAATAAAAAACATATTTAAATGTTAACACTGTTAGTGCTAAGGTCGGAGTTGAAGAAGCTTTCACGGCATCTTCCTAAAAGTCGTGAAGCTCCTATTTTCGACACAAACCACTCCATGTCTAGACCCGAAGCGTTCAACAAGCAGGAAATGCCGCCTCGTTGGAAGTCAACCCGTTGGAAGGACATCCAAATTTTTCCATGTGATCCATAAACAACGTAACCGATAATCTCGCCGTCGGCCGACCGACACTAAAACAATCAATTCGACCAGCCACGTCCTGTTCTCAACCAGTGCGTTCAAGTGTTCTTTTCTTTTTTTTTTTTTTTTAAGTATTTCAGCTGCGGTGCGCAAAACCATTGACACGTATCTGAAGATATATTTTTTTCTTCTTTGAAAAAAAGTAATAATAAAACTAAACTATCAATGGGTTCAATGTTATATGACGGCAAGACACGCATGTCTGGACAAAACACTCACTACACGCAACACATGGAGAGATAAGAGAGTATGTCGAACCGCGTGAGTGATCGCCCCTAAAATTTAAAAAAAAATGAGGGCCTGATGTATAGCTTAGGAACATGAACATCGAAACGGACTATTGGAGAGTGCAGTAAGAATGAAGGGATGGCGAATTCTCGTACCTGCCTGTTTCAGATGTTTCCGTCGGCGTAACCTGATTGCAGTGTCCCAACACCTTATTGTCACTGTACCTGCCTGAACAATTCCCCGTTTTACATATTTCCTTCTACCTCACCTGATTGAAGCCCCCCCCCCCCTTTTTTTTTTTCTCCATCTTATAGCGTTGTACCTGCTCGCTCTTGCCAAATACCCGTGTTCTGTAGGAGAAGTCACAAACGTTAGGTCAAAATCTCAATCCAAACAAAAGGGGTTGTGTACGTCTGTCTTCGTATTTAGAAAAAAAATATAAACACACAAAAAATAAACCTTGTTTGACATGTCATTAATCTTGATTTTTCTATACGCGACCAAATAAATACATTTTTAAAAAAAAAAATAATTAAAAACTCTCTTTCGGGATGCTGCAATCCAAAGTTGCAGCAATATACATGAAGAGACCAGAAATTTCTTTTTTTTTTTCAAATAAGGATCCATTGTTATAAATTATATCTGTTAAGAACATAATGACAAGAGAGCCAAATGTCATTATAGAATAGTAAAAGAACACAGATCCGCATCTATTTCTTCAGAAAGGGCCCACTGCGGCTCCGAAGCCACTGGTTTCCGACCACTGCCTTAAGCATTTCAGGTGAGGGCTTGCGGACAGATGCCCTAAGCATTTCAGGTGAGGGCTTGCCGACAACTGCCCTAAGCATTTCAGGTGAGGGCTTTCCGACAACTGCCCTAAGCATTTCAGGTGAGGGCTTGCCGACAACTGCCCTAAGCATTTCAGGTGAGGGCTTGCCGACAGATGCCCTAAGCATTTCAGGTGAGGGCTTGCCGACAACTGCCCTAAGAATTTCAGGTGAGGGCTTGCCGACAACTGCCCTAAGCATTTCAGGTGAGGGCTTGCCGACAACTGCCCTAAGCATTTCAGGTAAGGGCTTGCCGACAACTGCCCTAAGCATTTCAGGTGAGGGCTTGTCGACAACTGCCCTAAGCATTTCAGGTGAGGGCTTGCCGACAACTGCCCTAAGCATTTCAGGTGAGGGCTTGCCGACAACTGCCCTAAGCATTTCAGGTGAGGGCTTGCCGACAACTGCCCTAAGCATTTCAGGTGAGGGCTTGCCGACAACTGCCCTAAGCATTTCAGGTGAGGGCTTGCCGACAACTGCCCTAAGCATTTCAGGTGAGGGCTTGCCGACAACTGCCCTAAGCATTTCAGGTGAGGGCTTGCCGACAACTGCCCTAAGCATTTCAGGTGAGGGCTTGCCGACAACTGCCCTAAGCATTTCAGGTGAGGGCTTGCCGACAACTGCCCTAAGCATTTCAGGTGAGGGCTTGCCGACAACTTCCCTAATAGTTTGAGGTGAGGGCTTTCTTTTTTTTATTTTAAAAGTACACGTTAAAGTGATGTCGTTTTTAGAACAGCATGAGCGCAGATCTCAGTTGGAGCAACCAGTAGCATGTCGTTGTATTAAGTTGTAAACTCACCCAGGTCAATAAACAAAAACAAAATTGGGCTCCGCCCCTAATGGTTATGTCTAAAAGACATAATTCTCAGATCCGAATGCCCTAATGAATAGTGTTCAGGGACCAGATTGGACACAAATTATGCTTGATAACACTGTGTTGACCAGCCTGTTTTTGTCTTTACCCCCAAGTTTAATAAATCACTTTAATCTCCAGGTGCCGGAGGCTTGGTCTGATATTGTTGTTCAAATAATTTGTGACGTTATTTTCTTGAAGAAATGAATGCTTTTTAAGACTGTGTGTCATAATGTCATAATGCCATACTGCTTGTTAACTATCGCAGCTTTTTAACATTATGAACGATGTGGCCTTATTTTATTTTGCATTAAATTTAAGCTCTGGGCAATTTTGCAGCAAGTGATTTTATTTTTATCAATTGTGTGTGTGTGTGTGTGTGTGTATGAGTGTATTCCATTTTTGAGTTTTCACTAGAATTGTTTTCCTATGTAACTTGGAACCAAGATGTTGTTGCTTTATTAATTTGAAGTCATTAACTCTAAAAAAAAAAATACCTAAAATTGACAAAATACCGATTTTAAGATATTCGAATTTGAAAAGGTTCCTCTCCTTGGAAAAGGGACTCATTTACTTGTTCAAGTCATACAGTTTTTTTTTAGCTCAGTTGGATCAATGGCAATAACTGATTGGGTTTTGGTTATGACAAAGAATGTGACTCAAGCCCTAGGTCTTAAAATTACAGTACTAACGTT